AATCTGAAATAAAAAAAAAATAAGTGAATTAAGGCAGTGCCTGTGGCTCAATGAGTAGGGCACCAGCCCCATATACTAAGGGTGGCAGGTTTGAACTGAGCCCCAGCCAAACTGCAGCAAAAAAATAGCCAGGCATTGTGGCAGGTGCCTGTAGTCCCAGCTACTTGGGAGGCTGAGACAAGAGAATTGCCTAAGCCAAAGATCTGGAGGTTGCTTTGAGCTGTGACGCCACAGCCCTCTACCCAGGTTAACATAGTGAGAATGTCTCTTAAAAAAAAAAATAATAATAAGTGAATTGTATAGTATGGGAAATCTATCTCAATAAAAATTTTAAATAGACCAGGGGTTTCCAGACTTAGGGGATCTTATGGACTAATACAATTAATAAAATACAACTATGCACACTCATGTGTCCAGTTTTCCCCTCCAGAGCAGGGAAACCTCCCAAACTCCACCCTGAATTTACTTGGAAGTGTTTCTTTCTAGAAAACAGCCCAGTTCCTCGGAGAAAGGGCACCAATTCAGGATCTCACAAGGAGGTCCGTGGTGGCCACATGTCCCCTTTCCTGTTGAAGAAACCCTTTTCCTGTTAGCTAACTGAAGCTGTAAGGGCTCCAGTCCAGGGAAATGCAGGCCACCAAGGCGTCTTCCCAGCCTGGTCAGCCATTCAAGCCCAGGTCTGCCTGGGCTCCTGGCTGCTCTCAGATGCTATGGTTTCCAGGGTCCCCAGGGCCTGGGGCATGACAAGCCTAATAGTGCCTTAAATTAAGACAGACCGTGGGCTTAGAACCCTTGGCTCTCTCCAGGGGAAGGCGCAGGCAAACGCGGGCTTGGGGGCCTGCGTTTTATTAGCCAGGAGCTGTCGTAAATTTGGCTTTTGGAGGGTGAGGAGGGGCAGCTCTTTGCCTCTGTTCGATTCCCTGGCTGAGAGCTGTCACGGTGGTGCTCTGTGGGGATCCATATTCAGGAGACCACGTGTGCCCAGCAGCCTCGCCCGTGCATTAGTATCGACCAAGAGACTCGGAGTCCTACCGACAGGAAAGGGGATGAAATCCTGCTCCCGACCAGAGGAGGGCGCCGACCCTTCTGTTTCTGGCACACACTGGGGCAGACAGTGGCACTAGGGAACATTTATACATGGGCCAGGCGCTGTGGGTTGTATCCGTAACTATTGCTCCCTAATGAATTACTATGAATTTAGCAGCTCACAATAGCACTCAGCTTAGCTGGGTCCTCACAAGGCAGCAAATCAAGGTATCAGCTGGGC